TGGTAGATGTTACTATCATAGCGAGGGAACTAATAGAGATTTACAGAAAGCATTTTCGTGTTTTCAAACATCAGCAGCGTCAGAAAGTTTTGATGCTCGTAATGCTCAGCATTTCCTTGCAGAATGCTATTTTCAAGGAAATGGGACAAATAGAAACGAGAAAAAAGCATTTGAATGGTATTTAAGATCTGCTGAATCTGGGTTGAATATCTCTCAATTCAAATTAGCTGAATGTTACCAACACGGTTTCGGAATTCCAATAGATCTTGATCTAGCATTAAGATGGTATCAAAAAGCGCATGAAAATGGTCACGATAGAGCAGGCGAGCTGGTTGAATCTTTTGATTTTGAAAAGATATATTCATATTTTTAAATTTTTAGTAAATTCGAATTTTTCTTTTTATGTATTGTCTTTCATATTTATTTATTCATTTTCATAATCAAGAAAATTTTACCAGAAATTTTTCAGCAACATTTAGTTAGCATATATCAAATTCAATGAGGAGCTCTTTATGTAATTATTAAAATATTTTAATCCACTATAAAAATAAAAAATTGATCTGTAACTTGATTTGAACATTCACTACTTACAAGTTGCACCAGTCATACCAATTAAACAGATAAATGTTCCAATCTCAATATTTACAGTATAGAAAAGATCATTCTGACTGAGAATTTGTCTTCCATATTTGTTCTTTGAATAAAGTTTACATCATTATCTCCCAACCAGGATATAAGAATTATACTGCGATTTGTAAATAACCAAAATGTTTGTACGTGAAGCTAAGCAATCGTTGTTCATAAATCTACCCGTATTTAAGGTTGCACATTAAAATATATGCACAGCGATAAAGACTTGCATTCTTGCGAAATTTATATCCTTTAAGTTTCCAAATCTATGTTTGATATAATTCTGAACAAAGTGATAAAGTCCACAAACAGTGACAATCCCATAAAAGATCGGTGTTTTTTAATAAAAGTTCCGCTTGAACTCGTGATAGTGTAGATCCATTTTTGAAGAATCTGTCATAAAGAATTTTCTTTAGTTTATTCAGATTCTCTTTGTTAATAGGATATTTGAATCATGAAACCATCTTAAAAAGCTTGCAAACCATGAAAATATATATAGGGGACGAATTCTGCAATTGAATCATCTGTGAGAGAATCACAAGTCCGATTTGTGGTCCATATCCATCATCTTCAACAAATTTAACTAATATAAAATTCTGTTTTGTTAGTCAATAGTTTCACAAATAAATAATTTGCTTTGTTTATTTATCAAAAATCGAAAAGGTGAGAAATAGTAATATCGTATAGACAAAAAGAAAATCATCACCTTTTCTAGTATAATTTCGAGTTCGTCTGAAGTAATAAACAACCTGAAAGAAATGGATCCAGCTGCGCAACTTGTATACAAGAAAGTAATTGAAGTATTGAGAGGCTCAAATGAAGCTGATACATCCATATAACATAATTTACCTGTCTGTGGCACTTTCTCATGCACTTAACACATCAAACCAGTTACAACATAAAGTGTGAATACTTTTCCAGTATATGCATTGTACTTCTGTAGAGCAGCTTACGCTTACCCAAGCTGTTATAATTGTTGAGCTCGTCTGTTAAACGGTCAAACATTTCTTTATCAAGTATAGTCTTACGATATTGCTGGAAGCTCTAACAACATGGTTATTTTTTGCTCTATCCACGAGTAATTCCAGCAATTCTTGATCATTTGTAGCAGTGATATGGCGATCGTCTTCATGAAAGTATAGTGCTAAAATAGAAGAATAATCATCTTTAAATAATCCCAAGAGTTTATTGTGTATTTTTTCCTTAACGCGCTGAAAGCTCACTGATTCCACTGAATCAAGTGCGTGAATCTGATATTGATTTCTAAATTCAAGATGCCATTTCTATAGCCGAAGATGGATACTTGTGTTGCAGTTTATATTTCGTGTCCGGGATGATTGTGGACATTTCATTTCAAATCTCTCTACTTATTTCACTTTATAGCTGTAAACACAATGACATTTTTCCTGAAAATTACTTGCTTTCCCTTTACTATATAACTTTTAATCTGGAACATCGTCATGATTCAATTGCTAGAAATCATTTCTTTATTGAACATTTACAAATGCATCCAGCTCGAATTGTGATAATCCGTTAAAGTTTCGATTAAATATGGTGTAGGAACTCTTAAATCGACAATATATTTCAATTTCAAAATGCTACTACTCAACATAGAGGCAAAATTTTCAAAATCTGACCGGTAACTTTGTAGAACTTGTTATAAAGAACAAAGTTACCGGCCAGATTTTGAAAATTTTGCCTCTATGTTGAATAGTAGCATTTTGAAATTGAAACATATTGTCGATTTAAGAGTTCCTGCACCATATGTATAATATTGAGAGAACGAGAATATATCTATAAATAAATGCAAGACGTATATTTCATAAATAAAAGATTATTTGTCTAAAAAAATTTGAATAATTATCTTAATATAAATTACGAATATTCTATATTTCTATAATATATTGAGTTTTATTATAAAATACACTTATGGAATGCACTCAAACTCTTTAGTATTAATGAAAAAAATATGCGGCATTATTTTCTTCCATGCTGATATCATTTTATAAATTTCAATTTCGTTCAATTACAAATGTAAAGAAAAGGTTCTGATAAATCACAGTGTGAAAAAAGCTAATAGATTTGATTGGTGACACTAATCGCTGTGGTTGAGAACCAACCTGGCACACATTCAAGTGGTGCAGTTTAAATCGATAATAATGCATTCCGACGCTCGATTTTTGTTGGTTAAGAAAACAAAAAAAAAATCATTTAAAAAATACAATAAATTGGTTGGTACATGTAATTACTTATGATGACCAAATATCGATATAACTTTTTTTTGTGAATCTCAATCTTTTCAAAAAGGACCAAATGTTACCATAGCAACATAAATTTCTTTAATTAGTAATCTTTTGTATTTTAATCTTGATTGTTAGTGGTTTCAAATTTAAATATCTTTCAAATAAGCTTGTCATGAAATTTGGCATAATAAACACTAATTATAATGCGCAGTATAGTTTCCGTTGGTTTTTATTAGTGTCAAAACATGGCTTTTCATATTACAGGCAGTTTAGACTAAGAAAAAATATCTAATTTTTTATTTTTGCGTAATTTAGAGGGAATCGGATACCATTGGCAAACTTATCATTGTTGAATTACTTTTATATATTAAAATCTACTAATACTTGTGGTGCATAAAATCTAAAGTCATCAAACGTTTGTATTTTATAAAATGGATAAACCTCTTTACTAAGAAGTACATACAAAATTTAATCCGTGAATATGACGTAATAGACCTTTTCTGAGCATATTCACGGATTAAATTTTGTATTTACTTCTTAGTAAAGAAGTTTATCCATTTTATAAAATACAGACGTTTGATGACTTTAGATTTTATGCACCATACAACGCTAACGCTAAAATTAACCTTTAATTATGATAGACACATATCACGTGACGTATAACGATCAATTAGTGGTCCGAATCGATCATTATCGTTATATTCCTAATCGAGTAATCAATCATTCATTGCACTTATTAATCGATTGCCATCCGATTTAATCGAATATCCGAATATTCGAGTGTAATTTTTATAGTAATTGTGTGATGATCGCAACTAATCGATTAATCGTACTCGTCGATTATGTCCGGATCAAACCGATTACGGATCAAACGATTCTTGATTCTCATGATCGATAAAAAAATTTAAAATTCTGTTCTTGGTTCAGCTGCACCACCATATACATGTATTATATTATTAGTATCACGCTATTCGGTAAAGTAAATAATCTAAATATATTGGTATGGTATTGGTTCAGGGTATAGGTTACTTGGCAGTTCTGGTAGATATTTGCTTTTGAATTTACTAAATAAAAATTTCTGTCGATCACGGGGTGAATCAAGAATGAGAATTTTGCATCGGATCACCGACGCAAGTCAAACTTATAGCACTGCCACCTTAATACCCCTCACCCAGATACAGCATGATGAAAAGGATATATGAAAAATCATGGTTAATTGGAATCTTGCTATTAACCACAAAATCAGACTACAAATTATTTACAAACAAAATGGGATCTCAGGGCGATACAGGTAGTAGTGTTCTACAGTGAACTTCTCTTTAACAAAGACCAGTTGGACGAAAATTGCTTGTAACAAAAAACTAGCTTATTGTGTGCCCGGTTAAACAATTGATTTTTATCAGGGTCGACTGGCAGTAACGAGAGTTTCGTACAGAGATAAGTCCAGTATTTGTTTATGTCGCTTTAATATTAATTTTTTATTCAATTTAATATTAAAAATAAATTTGTGATCAAATTAAGTAAGTGCTAACAGAATTGCTCAACAAATTTTGGATATTTCTATAATTCTAATTCTTCACTGGTTATTATATTCACTACATTGAATTTCATACGCATGCATGCTTCAATTCCACAATTACTGCATACCGGACATCTTTAGACCAACAGATTAACAATGAGCATTAAAAAAATACATAAATTCAATTTACCAACGAACGTATCTATGATGCTAAACCTTCATTTGGAATTCGTCCGGGCGTCAAATTATCCTATGAAAAAATACGAATTAAATTCATTATTGGAATGTTTTAGAGCCTTCGAAAAAAATAGCAATAAAAAGTTTACCAAATCAATCCCAAGAAATTTTAATACGACGTCAACATCGCCAAAAGATTTTACTAATTGAATTAGGAAATTTTCTATTTTATGTGCGCGACTTAATAGGAATTCATAGGATAAATTATCTAAACAATAAATCATTAGCAAATTAATCGAAGAACTTATGAAAACATGAATACAAAGTTAAAGATAAGGATCGGTATTTTCTTTACTGAAAATTTTTTTCGCGGGAAAAATACCACAAAGAAATCGTGGAAAATTTCGACGAAGCACTTTATGAAATGCTCGCAGCTCACTATAGCGAAAATACGAAACCGATTGTGTCCAACCATCTCGATCGGACATATACTAAAGGAAATTTAGATCGATGTTAAAATTCTTCAGATGTGCGTGCACTTTTGATATTCGTTCGTCAGAGTATATACTTTTGTGAGAATTTCATATTCCGCATGTTTTCGCAAGCCCAGAAATCCCTCTGATTTCACACGAATTTTTTGTACACGGATCAATACATTGGCTGCTCGTAATCTAACTAATGCTTGAGGCATATTTTATTGCTTTTTTCTTTTGCAAAAGAAAGGGAACTCGAATTTAATAAATAGTTTAACGATTAGTGATCAATCAGATGATATAAATATGACTAACGTTAAATAGTATACTATTTATAGCCTTTTTTATGCCAACAATATAATAACGATAACGATATGTTGCCGCAGATCTACAATAGCGCCTCCTGACAGAATAATGAAATCATGTAGAACCACTTGGATAGTTAATTATGAGCTATCGCTATTACATATTTATTCTAATTAATGCTATGTTAATATATTTTTTTGATTATGCTAAAGCGAGCTCGTAATTTAGACTATAACCCAAGATGCATTTACATATAAAAAGAAAAAAACACTACTTTCGATTCAACCCAAATTTACGTAATGTGAAACAAAAAACAACCTGAAAAAGGAAAAAATAACGATTTCCTTCATGCATAATTTCAGGCTGAATAAATGCTTAGCTGCGTAACTTGTAGCATTTTCAAGATTATCGCAAAAGTAAAAAAACTAGTTTTTTTTTAAATTATACTAAGCGAGCACGCAATTTGATAAAAAAAATTAAAGGGTGAAATAAGGTTTAGTTTAATATTGTACTCTGGGCTAAAAAATTGTTTACATTTTCTTTTTGGATTAGCGAGCCCGTAACTAGGTAAACAGATTTTAACTTTCTCTGATATATACTTCAATACGCAGGCTTACTGAAGTAGCATAGATATCTCTAAATATTCATCATTTGTCACAGTTCGCCTGTTTACAAAAATGATTCATCGCCAAACTGCGGGTTAATTGGTTAAAACTTGATTGGTTCCGACCTCTAAGATGTAATAAAAATTGACAATACGACAAAAATTACTCGGAATACATTTAAAATTATTAAATAAAATCTGTTCGTCTGCAAAGGTTTGTCTTTTATTCATGATTTAGAATGGAATCGGCAGCATATAAATGTTCGTTTTAATTACATTATAAAAAAAAATATTTGGTTTTCTAAAACTATAAACAAATATCATAACTTCTATCAATATCACCATTACACGTATTAATAAATGTACTTTCACCAATCCTTCCAACAAATTCAGTTGCAAATGAAAGCTATAACCCTAAAGATTATGTTCACACCATGCCATACTGATATTTTATATACAAAATTAACTAAATGTCCGGTTTACTAACCAAGTTAAAAATATATCTCTACATTTGTTGTCGGTATGGAAAAATTACTTCACTTATCTAATCGAAAAAAGAAATGGGGATATTATAAAAAGATCAAATAACGAACATCTTCTAATGACTTCTTAATATCATATAATCCCGCTGTCATGCGGCGGATATCATTTTCACTATCTTTTTTTATCGTTTATTATTGAAAACAGTAAATCGAATTATTTGCTATATTGTACAGTAGACGCTATAAATAACGGTAATTTTTTATGCATAAGAAATTGTTAAGATTTATTCAGGTAATTTTTTATGCATAAGAAATTGTTAAGATTTATTCAGGTAATTTTTTTTGCATAAGAAATTGTTAAGATTTATTCAGGTAATTTTTTATAATAAGAAATTGTTAAGATTTATTCGGGTAATTTTTTTGCAAAAATTAGCAAATTTTATTAAAATAAAATTGATTTCATAGAATAAAAATTAAATTTTTGAAATATTTTAATTTTTTGTTAAATCTCTTATTTTAAGTAAAAAACAAAAAATTTTATTAAGCAATTTTTTATCATTCTACTATAAACTAAATTCTCATTATTTATGGAAGATGACTAAAATATGAGTGCCAGCAAATCGTTGGCCTGTTTCTCTTGGTTTTTTGGTATTTCTAATGTTTTCAAACTTTAGCAACTTTTATTAGTGTTAATTTAATTTTAATAAAGTATAAAATATAAAGTAGTTACCAGCAAAGAGCAGCGTTCTTCTTTTATTTTGTTGAAAGTTTTTCGTGTAATATATTTAAGATAAAATAGTAATGAAATCAGTTAAAAAACAATATAACAAGCAATTCTGCCTTCGTTGGAACAAACAAAAGACCTTAATATTTGATATAATTTTAATTAATGACATCAAAATTATTTATATTTAGATATAAAAGTATCTATGTTGGCTGGAATTGAAGTGAATATCCAAATGGCGTAAACTGCATTTAGTGAATTTGTTGTTTTTTTGTTCAGATTTATAGGAATGCTTTTTGCAATTTCATCTCCTCATCAGGTTCTTTTAATTTCTGCTTTTCTAATTTAAGGCACTCAATAATTTCTTTATCTGTTTTAGGATATTCTAAGGAGCTGTGCTGATCATGCAAAATATTCAGTTCCCACCCATAATTGATATAGTAGATAAAGCAGAAAGTGTCTTTCAGTTCATCAGCAGTTGGTCTGTTTTCTGGAATAGGATCCCAACATTTTTCAATGTACAGAAATGTTAAATACAAGATCTATATCATAATTCCGTTCATCCATGGTCGTTTCTATGTTACAATATTGTACATAATCATCCAAACCTATAAATATCTGCAGATTTAGGTATGGCATCTCATTTAGCACATTTGGGCTAATATAAGGAAGGATTCCATAAATTTCGTGATTAATTAACAATTAATATATGAGTATAGTCAAAACTCGATATAATGATACTGTCGGGAACATAGTAAAAATTTTGCAAATATCATTGTATCGAAGAAAATTTATTAGAAATGTTTTTGGGTTGTCATCATTATATCGAGATTTTAACCTATCCTAGATCCTCATCCTAGACCTCTAAATAAATTAAAATTATATAATACAAAACCACGTGTTATTTCAATTTGGTCTAGGATAAGATTGCTCTTAATATATTTGTATATGTAGTTCACCACCTTTTGCATGAGTCATTAATATCGAGTAGTCATTTGTAGCTGGATGTTAGTTACTCCATAATAACTTATTTTATTATAATAATCACTGTATTTTAAGCAGTCAGAATCTTGTATTAGAAAACAAAAGCAACATTAGAAATTTTTTATTTCCATTTTACCTCGTTTATAAACTTTGATCCAATTTGCTTTGAATTGTGCAATATTTTAACACAACTTCATGTTCTCCAGATAGTTTCTTCATAATCCCACTCGTGAAAGGAGCCTATTGGTCCGTTTAATCAGGTTGCTTTATAAATCGTTTCAAAATATTCAACATTGATAAATCTTTAAAAAGGGATCCATTCGAAAAATTTATTAATTCGTTTATTAGATTATCGATAACTTTATTTTCAGCTTCATGAATTCGTTTGTGATATAGAAAACATCCAGAGCAATACTTATTTTCTCGGCAATTGGTAGGTTTACTACAATCATGAGTATTGTGATCTGAATATTCTTCCGTACTAGACATTCTCGACATTTACTACATGTGTATTTTGATTTGAACATTTTCTGCAGTATCCATAGAAATTGACAAAAGAAGACATTCACTATAATTATGAGTATTCGAATTAGAAATTTTAGAATCCATCTTTGAGTTCAATTCTACAGAGGCCTCCCAGAATATTGTGGACACTTTTTAAAATACAATAATGCAAAAACTAATAAAAAAGCAAGATTTAT